TATATTGAAGATAGAAATCTAGAGGATTAAACACATTTTTGTTATTTAATGAAATGTAATGGTTTATTTTTATAATGTTTACGAAATTTGGATATTTCGGTATTTCAATTTTCCAAACTATTTACACTAAATTTCGAATTTTCCAGCTTCCTAAATTATTTAGATAAACTTTCAAAATTTGCTTCTCAAATATTTACAGTAAATTTATAATTTTTCATTATTTCAGCTTCCCAAATTATTTACAGTAAATTTCAATTTCGAATTTTTCAGTATTTCAGCTTCTCAAATTATTTACAGTAAATTTCTAACTTTTCAGTATTTCAGCTTCCCAAATTATTTACGGTAAATTTTAAAATTAGTATTTTCCTGTATTTCACTTTCTCAAATTATTTAGAAATCATAGAGAAATGCTTTATAATTCTTATAGAAACCCGTAGAAAAGTCACAGAAATCCCTTAAACATTCACCTAATGCATTCAAACTTGTTCAATTCATTATGCAAAGAGAAACATAAGAAATAACTGGTCTAAAGCGCATGTAAGAACATCAAATATGCAAATATTTCTATTAAATATGGAATTCCTTCACGGATCCTCTACGTTCAAGACATTAGTTGCCCGGTGCAAATCGATTCAGATTCCGCTCTCCTTCCTTATCTTTCCCATATGAAACATACAAGTGCGAACAGGACGTTACATAATCCGACCGACCAGCAGGATCGCGCAACATGTTATCTTTACATGATGTAATTTCATTAAGCACGTAGTAACAACATTATTTTAATAAATACTATGGCTTTTTAGCTCAATAATCTTCAAATTAATAAATACATTTTGTTGTCTCTAATAATTATACTAATTAGTCATGAAATAATTATTAGCAATATTATTCAAAAAGACAGTAAAAGTAAACTCAATCTGCCTAAAATACTTTGCAAATTGTAATTGCGCTATGCAGCCCACTTTACACATTGTACCGCATTTTGCATAGTATCAATAATTGTGAATAATAATAATAATAATAATAATCTGCCAACAATTCCTGGATATCAAAGCCGCATACGACAATGGAAGATGGGTGAACTTTTGGGCCTTCTCTGTTAGTCAATATAATTATTGCACTAACCTGAGAGAGAAGACTACAACTTGTTGGCGCACAACCATCGGTCGACATCAAATGGAATTGCCGCGGGGAATCCATTAAGTCCACTCTTGTTCATATTTTTGTTCATGATATCCACAGGACAACTGTGGGCAGCACTAGACTCATGGCATATGGCGATGATTTGGTGCTGAGAACATCAACGTGGTAGCGAATCAGTTAAACCAATCGCTCAGCAACATATATGAATTCCTGACGGAAAAACGACTTGTCATAGTACCCAGCAAAACCAAGGCCATGGGATTTACAAGGAAACAGTCAGGACTTTTCCGCTCCTTCGTATTCGGGATATTGGTGTGAGACATTGTACGTGAGAGCACACAAGTTTCTAGGAATTTGGTTTGATGATAAACTATGATGGAGAAATCATAGTCAGGTCATTCGGGCTTGACCCCTGCTAATGTTGTACCGTGGCAACGTGCTCTCGAGGCTTAATTACGCTAGTGGTCTCTACTCGTTCTGTGCAAAGACGCTGTTCAACCAACCGGTGAGAATCCAAAATCAGTGTCTGAGAATCTGCATTGGAGTCTTGCGCTCCACCCCACTGAATGTGCTGCACGTGGAAACCGGAGTATTTCCATTGGAGATTAGAAGAGCAGCTATTCACCTTCAGCTATTCGTCCTCTCGTCGCCAGGGCAGCGAAACCCTTTTTGGCCGGCCAAGGGAATCCCACTTCTGATTCAGGAGTGCAGAGATACGGAAACATTCAGATCAGCTGAATCAGATGATTCAGGTGAATGGTGGATCAGAGAGCCTTTCCAATATCTGACTGAGGCATATACAGACGGCTTAGAGTCACCTCGATCTGTCGCCTTCGGGATTTACATTCCGAAGATTAATATCTCAGAGTCGGGTAGATAGGCAGGGCTATCGTCGATATACACGGCGGAATTATATGCAATACACAGAGCCCTACAATTGACACAATTCCATGAGATACGGAGAGTGACGATAATCTCGGATTCGATGAGTTCTATCGAGTCCATCACCAGTCAATTAACGACAGTTAAAACGAACCACTGTGTTGTGGCAATAAACACGCAAATAAGAGAAATGGAAACGGATGGGGAGCCCAGTCACCAGGGTATCCTGGGAACAAGGAGGCTACACTGCACGGGCACATATCCGCATATAAGAGTGGATACTATGTTGGAATGGCAACGCAGATTCGAGGTAGAAAACGAATATAAGGGGTCGTTCTTTTATGGATTCAAGAAGACTTTTAGGAGGCACCCATAGTTTTTGAAGATGGCTTTCAGCAGGAAATCGGAGATTGTAGTGCTCAGTCGTTGGAGATCTGGACACACGCTAGCCCCGGTGCATTTGGCCAGAGTCGGGTGGCGGGAATCGGATAGATGCAGCTGTGGGCTCGCTTGATCACATCTTTATTGTATACAATCGATATCGACAAATTCTATGTAGTGAATTGATAAGAAACAATGTTCCACTACCGACATCAGTTCGGGCTCTGATTAGCTCCGAAAAAGAAAATGTTTAAAAGTGTCTTTTAAAATTTATTAAGAGTACAAAAGTAGCGCTATAGATCACCAAATACACGTATGTCCCCTAAACATAAAAATCAAGCTACATTATCCATCTGATGTCTCTCCTAACACCGTTGTATTGAATCTCTGAAACCCCGATTCGAGAGTTGTTATTTAGTGTAGACGTCCCACATGTTTTCCCCCTGACACCAGTAACATAGGGCAGTTTAATATATCTCAAATTAATAAAAAATAGTGGCTGGCGGAATTGTGCAAGACGCGCAAGCCAAGTGTAGTGTGGAGAGGAAAATAAGAAGAATCTGCCATCGATATTAATAACATTTTATGCAATAATTACAGTAGTCTATCAATTGAAAAAAATAACAAAATTCATTCATGAATTTCATCCATTGTAATTCGCATTGGAAGTTGAAAAAAAAATAACATTCGAAAAAAGCAGGGTTTTAAAATTTTAGTGATTTTCTCATAAAATATAATATATAGAGTGGATCAAAAAGATGCAAATGATAACTTTATGTTTGGGGAATGTAACGAGTTTTCATACATGCTGTGATTGCATATTTACTATATGCAACTGCAATTGCACGCTCGGTTTAATATGTAAAATTCAAATTATTGTACATTATCAATAATTTGAATTTTTATATTCCTATATTCCAGTATATGAAATTAATCGATTTCCACCACCACCTTTCTCACTTTCCGCCGTGTGCTCAGTAGGGACTAAATGTAACATATAACAAAGGAAAGTAATATAAACAATTTCCAAACCGGGACTCTGCGGTTCTGTTGTACACCTGGACTAGGTTGAGTCTCGGAATTGATGATGGTGTGCCTGTAGATAAGACCGCAACCAGACAGACAGAGTAGGAGAGAAGTCTTGCAACCAATTATACAGAGCAAACGTTAGATCAAAATGTTGGACCTTCTTGAAAATTCCGAGAGTGCCAAATACACGTCACGATTCCCTGATGCCATCAAAAGAGAGATGAAGGTAGGCAGTGGGACTTTGAGAGCTACGAGAGCAGTAAGTCTTCAATTTAAACTTACCTCTAAGAAGTATATTTGAAGTTATTACTTGGTTGCCTATACTCATATAACTGTTACACATGAAATTCTAGCTGTATTAGTATTACGAATAGTGTAAATTTAACATGAGTCAACATGATTACTTTTTATATTTTAAATTATGAAAAAAGATAAGATATGATAAAAAATTGAGCTGGAATGATCACATTCAAGCAAAAATGAGAACAAATCGAAATTAAGTTCAAGAAATTCTATTGAATTTTACGTTAATTTTAAAAGAAAACAAACTTTTGATGTATTAAACCCTTTCTGGACATACAGAATATAGTTGATAATGTGCGATGCATTTACTGATTTGTTAAAATATTGTATTTATTCATTTTTCGATTGTTCCAACGTATCTTAATAAACTTGAACTTAAAATTCTCGTTTTTTTTAATCGTATTACTCATGTATAGATTTAAAATATCTCAGGAAACGGAAACCGCGGTATCTTTTTAAATTCAGAAAATTAATGTACTTAATATAAATGTGCAACCACAATGCATATTTTCGATAAGTTAAGTCGTGCGCAATTTCCTTCTACAGTGCATTTTATATTGAGGCTCCAAAGAAGAATCCGCTCAGAAAGTCATAAAATTGCTTCAGTTTCAGTAATTGCTTCAGTCGGTTTCATCACAGTAAGTTTTGTTTTTAAATATTTTCTATAAGTTAAAAATGTATTGTTGGTATTTAAAAAATAATAATAATTTGTAAATCTTCTATTTTTTTTTTATTATTATTCTTTCAGTCTAATTGAAAATGTCGTTAAAAATCTTCATTATTCTGGCGACCATCGTGGTTATCAACGCCCAAAATAATTCAAACCAATCGACTAACGTTCCAAAGCCAACAGGAATCATTGCAAGTACAATCGTACCTAAAATAAACGAAACAACAACTGCCACTACAACTACGACGCAAACTACAACGACAAGTGCTCCTATTAGTATGGCTAGCATCGTTTACCCTAATTTTATAGTAATAGCACTGGCCATACCCTTTATGAAGTTGTTTAATTAGAAATCATGTAATCATTTTATATAAGTAAATATTTTTTTCAATCTTAGTTATTTTGTTTTAGAATATTTTACGTCTTTGTAACATAACTGCATAATGTTTATAAATAAAGTTATTATCCTCTACATTTTATTTATTTATAAATAACCAATATATTAATTCATTGAACGGTAAAATTTTGTTTTTTTTTTTGTAGAAATTTTATATTTTGTATACAGGATGCTGTCAATCAATATACGCTTGTCATGTTAAAATACTTGCTAAAAATTTCGGTGTTTTTTTCAGCCGTTTTATCTGTACAATGCGAAATCCATCCGTTCCTAGTTATAATAGCTGCGTTAAGGAACAATTCGTTTTATGAGATCGCAGGAGGAACTTTGATCAACAGCGAGTGGGTGTTGTGCGCGGAGAGTTGCAGGAATCTGGACGTAGATGGTGGTAGTTCGACGGCGATAGGAGGTATCGAAAAAGACATGTCCATCCAAACCGCTCAGAAGAGGCTGGTCATCATGTGGATTACGCATCCGGAATACGAAGAATCTTCAGTGAATTTGGCTCTCCTCAAATTGGAGTACGCTTTCGTTCTTAACGAGTATTTATCACCTGTCAGTATTCTGACCATCGATAGGAAGATGAAAAGCGACGGGACTTCGGAATTGGTGCATCCTCTCAAGAAACAAGTGAAAAGGGGTAAACGTGTGGACGTCATCAGCGATGAATTAACAGTGCTTCCGCAAAAAATATGCGAGTCTACGTTAAATCAAACCATATACAAGCACGAGTTTTGCAGCCGATTTGATAGGAACGACAGTAGGTTGAATTGGAACGGACCATTGATGACACGTCGTCGTCAGCTTGGAGTCTTCAGTAGAAACATCAGCCATAGAAACGAGATGTACTTGGTCTTCACTAGAATAGACTCACAGGTTGATTACTTGATGACCATGTGCAAGCAAGTAGGACGATCCTCCTCTCATCACTCTCATTCAAATTACTTTATTTTAATATTTTTCACATCAAATGTTTGTGTCTTTATGTATAAATAAATTTTACTCATACGATTATTTGTGATCTGGGTCGCAATAGACAACGAGCACATAAGAACAGCATCAAGGATGCAGAGAGGACCACCTTTTTCCATCGTAAATGCGTTGTTGTTGTTGGACGAATCCGACGGCAACAGACAATAGGACTTTCCCAACTTTTCCGCAAAGATTAAAATTATGTGGGTCGTATAAGGAAAGCAAACAGAGAGGACAGCCGATGAAAAAAGAAAAAAGAAGTCTCGTGGGAGAAAACAAAGTATCTTTTCGAGAAGTGGAACACGCGAACTTTAAAGAAATATGTATTTCGCCAAAGTCGCAATCACGTAATCCTTGGATCGATCTTTTTTTTTCTTGCTTGCCGCTATTAATCAACTGGAATTCATTACCATAATAGGATTATAAAGCTATGAAATATTATACAATAAATAAATAAAACAAAGAAGTTATTAAACATTTAAACGCATGGCGCCTGCTTTATTAATTGCATTTTCTTCTCGTTTTTCTTTTTAACATGCATGTTTTTTTATTACTGACCTTTAATATATTTTTTAGTGTGTCAGGAAATTTAATTCGTAAACACAAACCTGTTTTGTAGTCGGTCTTAGCAACAGATATCTCAAATAATTAATAAAATTTGCAATTTATATTCAGTTCAGTTCGATTATTCTATTATTTACATTAACATGATCTAACACTTAAAATTCGACTGTTTAGTCTAATTTAATCATTTCGTTGACAAGATTTCACAACAACTGATAAACAAAACGAATACAGAAAACGATTACAAAGTTCCATGTAGAAAGTGAAACTTATTTTATTGAGATTATTTTTCCATCCAAAGTTCAATGTTGCGATTTTGTTAATTATACGTTTATCAATTCATAATAATATTCCATATTTTCTATAAAGAAAGTAATTACAAATATTACAAATATCAAATGGTAAAAATTACTGCCCTTTTTACCACCTACCAGGGCAAGATCTTATCCATAAGACACAGTTCCTAGGAACTACGTGGTTTGTTTTGAATCGTTGAATTAGATTTTAGCAAACCCCCTGAATATGTTTGTATCAATGAAAAATTATAAAATATTTATATTAGAAATTATTTAACTCATGTTATGTTTATTTAATTAACTGCATAGCTATTGCAGAACTATTTAAGATTTTATATAATTACTGTTGTAAATAAGCAAATATTTCAGTAAAATCAATACTGCATTTGGTTTAATAAGAAATATGACCTAAATGTCCCAATAAATATTATTAAATAATCAGAAATATGATGAATTTGTAATTTTTATCTCTTACACAATCATCATGGATCAAGCATTTGCTTGCATATAAATTGAAGGGCCGAAGAAATATATTACACAGTTTGAATAGAATCAAGCAGAATGAAATGCACACTACTGATATTCGCATCCCTCATTGCCATGGGAACGTGCAAATTTGTAAGTAGAACAACTGAAATAACATTACTGTTTTGATTATTTTGTATATTCCGTTTTGTTTAGGAATTGAATGAAAAGGCGTTACAAGCTGTTACTGCAATTAGAAACGAATGCTTTGCTAGCGAAAATATGGATCCTGCTATCATCAGTCGTCTGGATGATCACAAACTGCCATCCCGTGACGAGTTAAAATGCCACAGCTTTTGCGTCCTTAAGAAGTTTAAGGCCATCGATGAAGATGGCATCTATAACATGGATGTCTTCAAACCTATATTTTCTGAAAGCGATTTTTCAAAGATTGACGAGATCTTCAAGACGTGCAATGTGGATTCCACCGATCCATGCGTTAAAGCTTACGAGGTGCATCAATGCTTCAACTCTGTTCTCTACTAGAAAGTATAATATTTTATTGATATAATCACATAAATTGGTACATTGAATATAATTTATTTTGTATGCATCTTTCATAAATAAAAGCATATTATAAATAGCTAACATGCAAATCATTTGATTATAATAAAAGTGTTTAAGACAAAATAATTTTAGTTGTTTTTAATATCCATATATAATTTAATACATTTTCATTCAACTACTCACGTTCGTCGTCGTTAATAACAAATCCATTATGTTATTATCTCCAAATGACGATTCAAATTGACAATTTATGTAAAATTGTTTATATTTTTTTGAAAATAGCTTTTATTGTAGTTTTTACTATAATAAATACTTTATTTATATATGATGATTAATAATTTCTTAGTCTAGGATCTAGTTGTTAAGAATCAACTAAATTCTTGCCTTAGGACTGGGAACGTTTATGAGTCTAGAAGAATTTCTGCTCTTCCAGGTATTACATAATCATTTTATTTTGTAGTAGAGAATTAACATAGCGAGAGTTGGATAATCGATAACCCTTTGATCCCAATTTGTAAATAAATAAAGAAATCTAAAAAGTAATCATATTGTATAAAATATTCTATGTATATAAAAGCGTTTTTGTTTCACATGTTTGATAATTTCATGTTTGTTAATCTGTTATCGTCTTATGATTACATGAAAATATGTGACGAGTTATCTTCTTGGACCGAAATTTATATAAACTATAGTACCGGAAACTCGGTCCACAGTTCTAATTGAAGCGATCAAAATGAACGCTACACTCTTGATCTTCGCATCTCTCCTTGCTCTGGCAACATGCAACTTCGTAAGTCCCACTAATTTTAATTGCGTTTTCCATTTGTATTTATTTCCTTCGTTGCTGTTAGAAATTTGGAGAGAAAGCCATGCAGGCCTTAACTGCGGTTAGGAACGAGTGCTTCGCTTCAGAAAACGTGGACGCAGCTTTCATCAATCGTCTGGATACTTACGAAATACCGTCTCGCGACGACTTGAAATGCCACAGCTTGTGCGTCTTCAAGAAGTTCAATGCCATCGACGAGAACGGAGCCTTCAACTTTGACGTCTTCAAACCTTACGTGCCGGAGACCGAATTTGCTGCAGTCATGAGTATCATCAACAAATGTAACGTAGTTACGACAGATCTATGCGAGAAAGCACATGAGTTGCACAGTTGTTTCAATCAAATTGTTTACAAACAAAACTAACATGTTAGTCATATTTACTCAATAAAGTCTACCTAATTATTAACTATGTTTATATTGGAAAAGTATCCAAAGTACCTGTTGATTATTGAACGAAAACAAATTTAATTATTTTGTTTTTATGATCTAAAAATGGATCAATAATAGATAAATAGTTTTTAACATGAACTCTTTTACAATTGTCCTTATTGTATAATAGTAATGGAAAGTTATTACTAATAAACGGTTAAAGTTCTAAGACACTTTGAATAAACAGTAAGCTCAAATTACTATTTCACAGTTTTTATAATGTTAATGTCTTTATTTGTTTGTATACAAATCGAAAGGTCAATTTGTGCAAAGCAATAAAAACCTGGAATGCATAATAAATCGTTATTTTTATTATGAAGTTTACTATTTACATTTAGAGAAAAAAAAACAACAACATTGAAAACATATATATATATATAAATGATCAAGCTTGTCTGATTTGATGCATAAACAAGATGAAGACGTTATTGGCAGTATTGGTGATTTCTACAATATCTTTAGTTTCCTCTTCGGAATTTGTAAGTATTTGTTTTTACATTATACATTGGTTTTTGTAAATGGATTTTTTTTTGTAGAAGTATAAAGGGAAACCATTGGAACAGTTAATTGAGGCAAGGAATAAGTGTTTCGTATCGGAAAATGTAGATGCTTCGTATTTGGATAAACTGGATCAAATTGAGTATCCGACTCGTGATGAGATTCAGTGTCACACGTACTGTGTCCTCAGCTCGTTCAAAATCATCAACGACAAGGGCGAAGTCTTCCCAGAGATCGTGATGAAGTATATCAAAGAACCGGTGCAGCAGAAGTTGGTCATTGATACGATCAATACGTGCATACTACGAACCAAAAAAAGCGAGAATGCTTGTGATCGTGCTCACCAAATGCAAGCCTGTTTCAATAGCATTATTTACAAGAAAAACTAATATTAAATTAATTAAAATTAAAAAAATAATAAATAAATAAATAAGTAAAGAATTTCTTGTTATTAATTTGTTGTATTAGTTTGTTTATTTAATAGAGTTGTTTCTTTCATATCAAGGTTTATTATTTTTTTGGTTTTTGACTTTGAAACACAATTTATTGATTTAATAAAACTTTTTTTTGCATACAAATAACAAACTTTAATCAAGTGTATATTTTCCATTTTGTTCGATGATCTTTTGCAATCACCATAATGATTGCGCGTTCGTAAAATTTCTGCAAAAAAAAAACGGATTTTTAATTAAATCAATAATATTAAAAAAAAAAAAATTAATGTAAATGTTTTATTGAAATACATTAACATTAATATTATGTTATTCAATATTCTCAAATTTATTTAAGATTTTTTTATACAAGTTACTGTGTAAAGTAGGAAACAAGTATGTTAATCGCTGGCACACTAAAAAAAAACTTGATTTTTTTTTGGTTTAGTTCTTCTATAAATAAAAACCCTACGAAATACAGAGACAGTTAACATTTAGCAATCACAAGAAACGCATCATGAAGACCATTGCCGCAGTTCTCCTTTTCGTAGCTTTTGCTTACGGCCAAAATTTAGTAAGTTTACGAAGAATAGTCTAATTGTAATAGTTGTTAACGCAATCTTGAAACTAGGAATTCTATTCACCGGAAGTTGCTGAGAGAATCGCCGCTGGAAGAGCCGAGTGTGCAAAGATCGAGACAGTTGATCCTAAGCATTTGACGCGTCTTGATAGTTCTGAAGATTTTCCAACTTTCGAAGAACTCAAATGCCACACCATGTGCATACTCAATAGGTACAAAGTGTTCAACGACGATCATACTATTAAAACCGAAGTGCTTAAACCGATATTCAAAGCCGCTGTTCTGGAGAAGATCGTTGCAAATTTGGACAAATGCCTTCCAGAGGACAAGAAGTTCGAAACCTGTGAGAAAGTCTACAATCTTCATGGTTGCGTTCTGAAACACCTTTAAATCTTAAGCTTATTCATTGTTAAAAATAAAGAAAAATTGTTTTAGTTCATATATTTGGTTTAATTAAATCCAATATGTTCCTTTATAAACAAATAGTTTCTTTGGTTCAAGAGGATTTCTAAGGAAATCAAGAAAAACTATATTGAAAATTATATTAATGTATATCATTTTCAATTCAACTTTACTTTCTGTTATTTCATATACCCTAAACTAAGAAGTACTATTCGTTAATTGAAAAAAAAAACATTCACAAATTGTTTAATGCGCGCAGTTCTTAGAACATTTTCTTCATAATTTCAATATAAATTATTAGCATAGAATCTGAATTTTTCAAAACTAGTATTATAATTATACTAAAACAAGTATATAAAGAAATTATTGTTATTAATTTGTTAAAATAGTTTGTTTATTTAATTCATTTGTTTCTTTCATTTTAAAGTTTATTTATTATTATTTTTTTGGGTTTTTGACTTTAGAATGCTTATTTATGTTACGACTATTCAAACCAATAAATTATGATTAACATTATTATTAAATATTCCGTCTAATTTCAATGTAAATTATTCCTTTTGGCTTGACATACCAAAAAACTTGTAGTTGTTGTGATAATTTACTTTCTTTAGTTTATCTTTAAATACAGACTCTCCGAAATACAAAGACAGTTAACGTTTAACAATCACAACAAACGCATCATGAAAACCATTGTCGCAGTTCTTCTTTTCGTGGCTTTCACTTACGGCCAAAAGATAGTAAGTTTACGAAGAATATTCTAATTGTAATAGTTGTTAACGCAATCTTGAAACTAGGAATTCTCTTCACCGGAAGTTGCTGATAGAGTCATCGCTGGAAGAGCCGAATGTGCAAAGATCGAGACAGTTGATCCTAAGCATTTGATGCGTCTTGGTACTTACGAAGATTTTCCAACCTTCGAAGACCTCAAATGCTACACCATGTGCATACTAAACAAGTTCCAAGTATTCGACGACGATCATACTATTAAAACCGATGTGCTTAAACCGATATTCAAAGCCGCTGTTCTGGAGAAGTTCATTGCAAATTTGGACAAGTGCCTTCCTGAGGACAAGAAGTTCGAAACCTGTGAGAAAGTCTACAATCTTCATCGCTGCATTCTGAAACACCTTTAAATTTTAAACTTATTCATTGTTACAAATAAAAATAAAATAGTTTTATTTAATTATATAATATATCTTCCATCATAAACAAATAGTTTCTTTGGTTCCTGAGCAGAGTAATTTTCCGATTATTTTAATTTCCCGGGAAAAAAATCTCGTACATTACTTCAGATTTCCAATGAAAATTAGACAGAAGAATTAACAAGATGCAAGTTCCTTGTTTTTTTCATTTTTGTTCATTTTTTTTATAATTATAAAGCAATAAATACAAAATTGCTTATGAAAAGTAGACAGAAGAATTAACAAGATGCAAGTTCCTTGTTTTTTCATTTTTTTATAATTACAAAGCAATAAATACAAAATTGCTTATGAAAAGTAGACAGAACTTATTAAACAATTTACAATTTAATTTATTTAACTTTACTTTTTGTTTTGAATTTATGCTTAGAACATTCTCTTATAATATGGATTTTTCTAAACTAGTATAATAATTATACTAAAGAACTCCAATACAACTTTTTTCTCTTTGGCTTTGCTGTAAATATAAATTCGATTTGAAATACAAATATAGTAGTCATTCGATAATCATAAGGAGCGCATCATGAAGACCATTGTAGCACTTCTCGTTCTCGTGGCTTTGGCTCACGCTGAACATATAGTAAGTATAATATATTTCTAAATTCGATTTCATCTTCATTCGTTTTCAAATATTTTTATAGCATTTTTCACCGGAATTTGTTGAGATAGTGGCAGCAGCAAGAATCGAATGCGCAAAGTCCGAATCAGTAGATGTGAAGCACTTGGTGCATTTCGATGTCATTGAGGAATTTCCGACCTTTTCAGTGGTCAAATGTCATAGCTTGTGTACAATTAACAAGTTAAAATTACTCAACGACGATCATACAATTAACATCGAAGCACTCAAACCGGTATTCAAAGACGATGTGTTGCAGAAGATCCTCGCCAACCTAGACAAGTGTTTGCCTGAAGACAAGAAGCTCGACACCTGCGAGAAAAATTACAATCTTCATCAGTGCCTTTTGAAATACGTATAAGTGTTAAGCTTATTAAATGTTAACAAATAAGTACGAACTAATACAGATATCCTTCGATTACCTTTGCCTCTAGTAACGAAGCTTCGATATAACAAAGTCCGTAGTTTTAAACTCCATCTAACATTTAAAAATATTCTAATTTAAGACCAAAACCCTACCATCATACATCAAAATATGAAGTAGAAGATGTATTAAAGAAGAAAATTATATACAAGAAATAATGTTATTCATACGACACAATCAACAGATTTCGAAAATGTTTATGATGAAGATTTTAGAATTTTTTTGAATGCAGAAGGTGTCGATTTTTTCAATGAAAGATTTAAAAAAATCTAGTGAGAAATTGAAGAAGTTCTTGACGAAAATAATGTGAATAACTAAAGATTTGTCAGTAAAAATGATCCAGATTTAGAAAGAGGTATTATTGTTAAGTAAAATAAAAGCACAAACTAGCCATAATATTTTTACTTATGAAAACGAAGTTTCACTTAACGAAGTAATTCGTACAACGTATCTTCCTATTCGTTAATCGAGGTATATATTGAGGACAGTACAACAAATTGCTGTATCTTTAGTAAAAAAAAGGTATACGAAACTTGAAAATCTATGAAAAACTTCAACCAATTAACGAAATATTTCTATATTATTGAAAAACAAGTATTTATTTTTATAACATTATACAATAATTTAGATTTATAATATTTGCATAAAACTAGTTTGATAATTGCATAAAAAAAATATTGCATTTGAGTTATAAATTGGTATGGATTTGCTTTAAATATGAATCCCGTTTGGATTACTAAGTTAGTCAACATTCTATAATCCAGTGAAGCGCATCATGAAGATTATTGCAACACTGCTCGTTTTCGTGGCTTTGGTTCACAGTGAAAATATAGTGAGTATAATATTTGAACATTTTTTTTTTATTTCATTCATTCATTTTAGTATTTTTCACCAGGATTCGTTGAGAAAGTGACAGCTGCAAGGATCGAGTGTACAAAGATCGAGTCAGTAAATCCGAAGATTTTGCTGCGTATCGATCACATCGAAGATTTACCAAATTTCGATGAGATCAAATGCCATAGTCTGTGTACACTCAACGAATTGCAATTACTCAACGAAGATAAACTACTTAAAATCGAAGGACTCAATCCGATATTCAAAAAAGTTGTTCTGGAGATAGTTTTGTCCATCCTGGACAAGTGCCTACCCGAGGATAAGAAGATCGATACTTGTGAAAAAGGATACAATCTTCATCACTGTATTCTGAAATACCTTTAAGTGTTAAGCTGAATTAGATTGTATCCAACAGTTTTCATAGATTGGATATGTGCACAAAATGAGTCAAACTATTGTAAATCAATTGAATTATTTTTAATTTTTCATTAATTTATTAAAAAGTATGAAAAATTCATTCTATGTTGTATTTTTTATTCGTACAAAGTTCAATTTAGTTATTATATATGTATATTTATAAAATGAGGTTTGTTGACTATGATTTTACATTAACGCTGTTATCTAAATGATTTAAACAAAATTTGTTTATAAAAAATTGACTTTATTCTTTATTAATAATTCATTAAGTTTCTAATATTAATTTGAATATTCAAGGAAATTCATATTTTTTCTTATATTTTTACTTTCAAATCTGAATTGGTCATAGTTTAGACTTAAATATTTCTGTCTCAATATGTTTATATTACGGAAAAACAAATAATTACTTTAATTATACGTGGAGTCTAACAAAAGTTCGCTTAGTTGGCTGGAAAAAAATAAAAAAAAACAATTTTATTTTAATATATTTAATTTTCATCCTTTAATTTTCCTGTAATTTCTCAACATAATTTCCATTTATTTAAATACATTTCTGATTTTCACCAGAATTTCTTAAATAAATTGTATCTGAAACAATGGAGTGTGCAAAAACGGAGGCAGTAGATCCGAAGCACTTTAGACAACATCGAAAATTTTCCAACTTTCGAAGAGATCAAATACCACAGCCAGTGCATGCTCAAAAAGTTTAAATTACTTAACGGCGATAACACAATTAAAGTCAAATCACTCAAACCGATATTTTGAAGAAGTTTTTAGCCGCCATGGAATGATGCCTACCTGAAAATAAAAAATTAGATACCTGCGAGAAAGTCTACAATGTTCATGTATGCGTTCTGAAAAAAAAAACCTATAAAAGCAGTGTTTTCGACTGAAATATTTCTGTCTTATTGTTTCTATATCAACAAAAAAAATGCTTTGATTATAAGATCATAGAATCTATTAAGTTATTTTTGATATTAGTTGATTGAATTTGTGAGTGTGTAAAAATATATCTTGTAAAACCAGTATGATTATTGCACAGCTGCATACTAAAAAACTTGCATCTTTTATACAAGTTTTTTTTGTTTGCTTTTACTTTAAATATAAACACCACACTGAAACTATACACATAGTCAACACTACATATTCAGACGATGCACACCATGAAGACTTTTGCAGCAGTCCTCGTTTTTGTGGCTTTGGTTTACGCTGAAAAAATGGTTAGTATTAATATTAAAACAATAGATGTAACTTGATGTGATTTGTACATTTTTTAGAGTTTTTCTTCGGAATTTGTTGAGAAAATTGCATCTGCAAGAATGGAGTGCGCAAAGACGGAGGCAGTAAATCTGAAGAACATTATGCGTTTAGACAGCGTCCAACATTTTCCTACCTTCGAAGAGATCAAATGACACAGTCTGTGCATACTCAATAATTTAAAATTACTTAACGGCGATCACACATTGAAAATCGAACCACTCAAGTCAATATTTAATGCTGATATTCTAGAGAAGTTATTCGCCGCCTTGGAAATATGCCTACCTGAAGACAAAAAGTTAGATACCTGCGAGAAAGTCTATAACGCTCATGTTTGCATTCTCAAAAATCTCTAAAAGTTTTATTTATAAATTTAAAAACAAACAAAACTACTTCTGAAATGAATTTATTTGTAATATTAAACATATGTGAAATAACATTTAAGTAATATTAAAACAGTTTGTTTAAAATAAATGTTTAGTAAAACTCTTTAATATTTATACCGTATATTTTCACATTTTAGTGCTTTTTTTTAAACTATAATAGATTGAATGGATCGAAAAGATGCATATAAAAGCTGGATGTTTGCGGAATGTAGCGAGTATTCATATATTGCTGTGGTTTTAAATCGCGTTCAAAGTTGGAAAAATGAAAAAAACAACACTCATAAAAGCATTGTTTTTGGCTGACAAAAGTCCTATTGTTTCTATATCAATAAATAATTGCTTTAATTATAAAATCATGCAAAACCTAGAATCTATTAAGTTAATTTCGATATGAGTTGAATGCGTAAAAATATATCTTGTAAAACCGATATGATAACTAAAAAACTTGATGTACAAGTTTTTCTGTTTGCTTTTACTTTAAATATAAACCACACCAAAAATACAAAGATAGTCGACATTGCATGATCATAGAAGATGCACACCATGAAAACTGTTGTAACAGTTCTCGTTTTTGTGGTATTTGCTCACGCCGATAACATAGTGAGTAATAATATTATGAGATCATATATTTTTTAATTTCAATATTTTTAGTTTTTTTCAATTTGTTAAGAAAGTGGAAGCTGCAAGAATCGAATGCGCAAATACCGAAACGGTAGATCCAAAGCACTTGATGCATTTCGATATAATGGAGGAATTTCCGACCTTTGCAGAGGTCAAATGCCACAGTTTGTGTACAATTAACAAGTTAAAATTACTCAACGATGATCATACAATTAACATCGAAGCACTCAAACCGGTATTCAAAGACTATGTGCTGAAGAAGATCCTCGCCAACTTAGATAAGTGTTTGCCTGAGGACAAGATGTTCGATACTTGTGAAAAAACCCACAATCTTCATCACTGTGTTTTGAAATACTTATAAGAGTTCAACATATTCCTT